CGGATATGGAAGATATAATACAAAGTAAGAAAATATAAAACGAATTTATATTATTAAGCTATAGATTTTAGATGGTTTCATTTATTTCTCTGGTACCAGGGAAACCGTTTGAATAATATGTAAATGTACAGTACATATTCATAAGAAGTTGGCGCCTGAAAGAATTAAATGAGATTGATCAAAAATGTGTGATTAATAAAATTGCACGAAAGTGTAGTTTGCTGCAGTGATACGCGTGCACAACACAGGGAACCAATCACAGCTGATGACTTGTGACGCGACACAGAATGATCAGTCACGTAATCGATATGGCCGGCGCCAACCCCTTCTTGCCTCGTGCCCCCAAACAGACCCAAAAATGCACTTCTGCGCATGTCGTGTTGGTAGGCAGCGGCTTGGCTCTACCCCTGGCATTGCTGAAGTCCATGGGCGACGGTAACCACTCACCATCAGGTGGGCCGTATGCTAGTCTGCCTACAAGGGCAATGAAAAAAAAAAGTCAAGGTCAGAGCTCACGACTCGTGCCGATTACTGTACCTGTTTATCTGATTAGTTAGTAATTTTTATCTTTTAACATTAAGCTAACGATAAAATTAAATAACCAGTAATTTTCTTTTAAATAAAAATGGCTTGGCTATATTTTAATTTTCAAATGTTAATACTTATTGTGATATGGTAATATTTACGGTGTAATAACGGAGCTAATTTTTAACTAAGAAAATTAAGAAGAAAAGAAATAAAATCATTTTGTTAATATTTTAATAAACCTGGTGTCTGCGAACTGAGTGTTCTGATAAAACCAAACAAATAGACATTCATTTGATTTGTATTGATGTTTTTTTTTTCATCGCCCGACCTTTTTAGGTGTCATTGCTTAGGAGAGTGGACGAGCTCACAGCCCACCTGGTGTTAAGTGGTTACTGGAGCCCATGGACATCTACAACGTAAATGCGCCCCCCACCTTAAATATAGCCAAAGAGATTTTATTGCAAGTTCATACATACCATAATACGAAAATGCTTTTTTCCCAACCTGTTATGTTGTTATTGTTTAATATTTTTATACTTTTATACTAGGGTAAAGCCGAGATAGATGCCCCACTTTTTGAAATAGTCGTGTAATTTTAAAAATATTAATTTTATACGAATAATTTCTATTAATGTAGTTAGCTCAATCCTTTATGTTTAATTAGTATACATTTTTTTTAACCTATCAAATACAGATTTTGCAGAAATTCGTTTTTCGTAGAACCTTTTTTTGGAGGATAGATGACTACCTGTATGGATAGTTGCCCCACCAAGAAAATACTGAGTAGGATAGATGCCTGCAGTGCAGGATAGATGCCCTTTATACCGTGTAAACTAAAAAACCAAACCAAATATTAAGAAGCTCTATTCATAACAGAGCAATTGTCTCCAAGAAACGTCATAATAATAAAAAAATATGTATTTTTTAAGTCTTTGAATGTTTATAATTAAAAGATAATTCTCATATCACACAAATGATCATAATTAAATCTTTAAAGCGTTAAGTAAGCGTAAGCTAAACTACAATTTTTTTAGTTTCAACATGCATTATCCTATTTTTTTATTATATTAAATTTTACAAATATTTATTCAACAAAAATATAAATTCTTAATTGTTTATAAAATATTTTCATTAAGTGTCAATGTGTACATTGCAAAATCATATTTTTTTATATTAAATTAACACAATAAAGATATCTTTATTATTTTGTCCAATTGAAGTTTAACTGGATAGTGCTTTCAATTTTCCACATATTCTACATCATTTCTGAAAAACACGTTTCATGTGGCTAGTTCTGAAACATTAAACATTGAATCTAATCGGATTGCGACTTCGTATTTTTATAGTTTTCAAAACATTCAATGCAGATATATTTACATGCGTTTTAAGTCTATCTTAGATTTCTTTAAAGGGAAAATCTATTGTTTTATTTCCTTTCATTTTATAGTTAAGTGGATTGTCTTCATCTTCGCTGCTTGAACTGTAAATCATGTGTTTGTGGTTTATGTTTTCGTGGCATATTTCAGCTGTATTCTGAAATGGCAGAGTATGGAGGGATAGATGCCCCTAAAGGCACCTATACCCCAAAAAATCAGGGCAACTATCCTTTGTGATATGGATAGATGCCCAATTTTTTTGTAAATAAATTATAAACATAATAGCATTTATTTACACCTAGATGCAGACTCAATGAACCAATATATTCACGTAGTAAAAAATATAATGGAATTTTACACTAATTATAAAGTTATACCACGCTAAATACTAACCTTTAAATCTTTGACGTGTTCGTGAAATTCCGCGCTGAGAAAATTAGATGTACGAGGAAAACACTTCGTCATCACGCGATTGTCAAATGGTACATAAGGTATAGAATGACTGTGGTTCCTACTTATTAAATTAATTTTTTGTCATGAGTGCGGGAAGTTAGGTTTTTAGAACATGAGGCATCTATCCCGCTGCGGCATCTATCCAGGTTTTACCCTATACCTGCCCTGCAGTGCACAAAAAAGAGCTTAAGTAGCTTAGGATTTTTAAAGTATTTGTATATTTCATATTTTTATTTGATAAAACCTAATCAGTTTACATAGCAGTGGGGCCCCATTTTTTAATTTGCCCCAGGGCCCTTGGTTACCTAGCTACGCCACTGAAGGTTTCAGCTATACGAAGACGCATTTTCGACAGCAAAAAAAAAACGAAAAACATTTCTAGGAAATTCTATTTTATTAGTTTTTACTCCAAAGAATACAACTAGTACATAAATTGGAATAATTTTTTTTTTTAATATGTACACGTTGACTTTCATGTACAACCGGTGCCCTACGCGGCGCACTAAAGTAATTACGTCGATTTCTCCCTACGATCTTCTTGCTAAGGCGCCGGAATATCTCGTAGACTCTGGGAAAGAATAAACCGAAGATACTGAAAATGAATCTATTCTAAGTCAATCTAAAAGACTAAAACATACATTAACAAACACAAGAAGGCAAAGTTAGGTAATCCAGGTGCTTAGTAACAGAAATCGACGTAATTGCTTCAGTGCGCCGCGCAGGTCACCGGTGACCGATATGACAGTGAAAAGGTTAACTCTCTCCGGTCCTTGCGCTTCGCAGACATCATTATAACTCCCATCTCCCATATCAGAGCAACATTACATTAATGTTACGCTTTTATCATTTTATTGCGTAACGCCTGGGTTCCTCCTCTCATCGTGAATACAAATGATGAAGACATAACTTAATATACAGTTAGCATTATTTTTGTGAAAAAAAAAAAAATAATTTATAAAAAATTACAGAATTAAGTATGCAGTCACAACAATGCCGTGAATACTCCTTCATTCGCGTTTTCACTGAAAAGTTTCTTCTTTATTCGAGAATCAAATCGGTAGATACACATTGATAAAAAGGATTCCATCCAAATATCCTTTGTAAGTAAACGCATCATGGACCTAATAAAAAAGTGAAATAGACCTTATTACACATATGCTTAAGTATGTTTTTATATTGTCACCTAAAACGTATCCCCTATCCCTTATTATACTCTAAACTCCCTTAAAAAAAATTAAGCTATGTATGTTTCTGGATAGTCTATGAAATTTCTCGGATGTCATTTTGTTCGTTTTATAAATTTATACCTAAAACCGCCAACTTCCAACTAAATTTGACATCAAACTTTCGAATTTGTTCCAAAATCCGCCAGCTCTTTTGAAAATTATTTCTAAAACCCGCTACATCTGTTTCGACCAATCACGACGCTCTATTCAGAAGATTTCAATATGGCGTTATAATGCAGAACTGTATTATTATTATTGTCCGAAATTTGCATTTTTTAATTAAAATAATGGAAGAACTGACTAAAAAAGTTGAAAAAGCATGTCCTAATAAAGGAAGAAAAAGAATAAGCCAACCGGATTTATGGAAAAAACAAATTGAAGGAAAAAAAGTTAGTTAAAGTTACCCGCCAAATCTATTTTTAAATCACTCAACTATGTAAGTGTTTATGTTTTTTTTTACTCATAAAAATACATATAATAATATCAGGGTTTGAAACAAATAAGAATTACATTCGCTGGATTCAATTAAATTAAAATTATAATTCAATTAAAAAGGTCCTCGGAGATATTAGATACACTTTTTTGCTTTTACTGAAAAATGTGTTGCGTCTGGAGTTAGATGATATCGGAATTATACGACTCATATGTAGCTTACCATTCCATATTCACCGTCTCTGTATTCGCCGGAATATTGACGGAACATACATACATCCCGCGAATAAAGAGCATTTAGTGTGTTTAAATTGTGACCAATGCCACTGCAGTACGGGAACGTAATGTCTCATATTATAATTATAGACCAATAAAACGATAAAAATAAAAGTAATAAAACAAACTGTACATATTAAAGTATATTATGAAAGTTGAATTAACTATGTTACAGAATTTTGTCAGTTATACAATTTTTTTTTAATTGCCTTTGTATGCAGACAAGCATACGGCCTACCTGATGGTGAGTGGTTACCGTCGCCCATGGACTTCAGAAATGCAAGGGGCAGAGCCAAGCCGCTGCCTACCGTTGAGTACTCTCCACGAGCCTTGTTTGAAGAAGGATATGTCATAGCGCTCGGGAAACACCGTGGAGGGGAGCTCATATCAAAATTAATTTAATAATTAAATTAGTCATGACCGTGTCGCCCATCCATGCACACTCATTCGTGTCCAAGTTTCCATGTCTCCAAGTTTAGTTTACAAATATTGAAGGAAACTAAACATCACTTAACTTCATAAACAATGCAATATTCAAGTAATTTTACATATCCTTCTTATTCCACTTAATTACTAGAAACGAAACAATTTTTTAGTGTAAAATATAATTTCTAAAATGATTATAAAAAATTAATTCATTGTCGACAACAAAAATTATTTTACAGTGACATAATTATTAATTAAATTTTGAAACTTCTGATTTTTTTTGTATGTTCCATTGAGACAAGCAGCTTACAGGCATTGACAATGTTAATGCCAAGTTTTTAAGGTTATTCGAATCATTTTTTAATGTTGTCTATAAACCTTTTTGGGAATATATCATTTTTTTAACTTCTAATTTTAATTTCAATTTTTGTTATATGTATTCCATTAAACACAGAGACAATATTACATTTAAAGAGAAGTCAATAATTATGTCGAACTTCGATCATCGCAATGGTCGTTCATGCTAGTCAAATAATGACTAGGTGACGCATTCAGAAAATTATTAGAAAAAATGCAAATCCATGTATGTAAAGAAAAAAATATTACAGTGGCCCACACTGTAATGTGTGTGTAATGATTTTATTATAAATATAGAGATGCGAAGTATTAGACAGTACGGATAGAGCGAGATGCAACGCCTCTAGTATACTGGAGGTCTATAGACCGGGCGGTCCACTATAACGTATCATTATGGTAAGAGTAGAAAAAATACGTGAACGCGTTCTTTCATTGTCAAGTCAACTTGAACTGTTTTATGGACTTAGAATCGGAGGATACGTCTTGTGTAGCCGGTGTCACGTGCATCCCACCGTCACGCGTGAGTGGGCGGGGCCCGCACGTCACGCGTGGGTGGGAGGGGCCCGCACGTCCCCCTCAGTGGAAGGACACCAATGCGCGCCCCCCCGGCGGGGATCACATTCGAGAGTTGTGCTTCGTTTGTTTCTGCGCGTCTTCGATTTTATTTTCCGTCTCTTCGGCTTCTGATAAGATCGCTCGTACTTGTTCTAACGCTTTCCTATAAATAAAAATTTAGCTTCTATTATAATATAATACATATTGTACGGTTTGCACATACCTAACTAATACGTGGACACGCCGTGCGTCGTCATTGTGGTGTCAGGTTATTTTATTATATTCTTAGAGCAGTGCACTTAGCAACACGCACTCGTTAAGACGTTACCATCTGTGCTTAACCAATATAATAAAGGTGCTCAAACAACACACTAACTCTTTGGAACTCAACAAACTTCCCCGTTGAACCCCAACACATATTATAAACGCGCACTGAGTGTCTTTTGCTGTGCTCCACTACCTCTACGTTATATTTGTGGTGGACACGATCAGCTTTTCTAGTCCTGGCTATTTCTACCGCGAAGTAGTCATAAGTTCAGACTTCGACCTCATGTCTCAAGGGGGGCGGCAGAATTCACGTTGTGATGTTTGTGAGCACTAGTAGTCACTGACAGCACCTTTCTAGTTTACATCTCTTGTGTTCCAACAGTTATCAGTTCTTCCGCGTGTCTGATAAACCCACTACTTCTTCAGTTGCGTACAGAGAGTGACTAATTTACGAATTTGACTCTATTAACTGTTTTAAACGTAGATATGTTTGGGAGTGAATGCTATTATCACCCTCAAATGTGTGTGCTTCAACATTTTTTTCCCGCCAACTTTGAATTAAGTCCTCCACATTGTCGATAGCCGACGGTAAGCATACCCCATTACTTCAACTGAACGTTTACTAATTTTGATGAATTGAAAAAAAAAATTAAATATGTCAGTGGTTCATTCTCCCCTCTTAGTAACTAAAAAATTGTTAGAACTAACATGTGAAGCGGGTTGTCTGGTTGTAGGGCGGCCATCGTGGTGGTGGCCAGACGGCGCAGGGGGCGGAGCGCGTGGGGGCGTAGCTCCCCCCGCGGCAGCGCCCCCGCGAGCACGCTGGCCGCCCAGGCCGCCTGCGGGCCCGCCGCCGCGCCCGCCGCGAAGCTCAGCCGCTCTGCCAAACAACACTTTACTGTCTCGAAATGTAGGATAGTCGGAACACACCATGTTATTGTGAGGTTTATAGGGAGATGAAGGATGAGGCGTGTGCGTTAGTTGTTTGTTGCGTGTTGTTCTCCACAAACCTCATCGTAGCGGTCAATAAAACACTACGTATAATTACATGTTTATTCGCGTCAGCGACCGCGGTGGATCGCTGCACGTTAACCACTGACTGACTAACGTCTATTGCTCATTACTATAACTGCATAGTAAGCAGCTAAGCGGGGCGGGGTATCATTCCCCTACATTATGAAGTTCAGAATTTGGTGCTTTTTCACAGCCGTCATGCACGGGTCAGAAAATTCGAAAATGTTTGGTATGTTGGAAATCTACATTAGAATTCCGAGGGAGATAATGTGCAACATTTTATTGAACGCATGACAGTGACGTCATTAATGGCTGCTCACGTATGATCACGAGAAATTTTATATTAAAATCATTATATGACACAAACTTTGTCTTGACAATAAATCGGTGGAACCATTCCTAAAGTACAGTGTGCTTAGTGCAAGTTTTTTAACGTTCTCGATAGCGTCAAAATTTACTCAAATTTGTATGCAGTTGGAACAGCGCACCTAGCGGCAAACGTAGGCAAACATTTGAACTCCATACAAACTTGAGTTAACTTTTACGCTATTGAGAACGTTAAAAACTCGCACTAAGCACACTTTTCCTTCATACTGGTACGTTTTTTTTTCTACCTAAACTTGAGCTATGTCAGCGTAACCGCGCGAGTAGGTAAGCTCACGGGGCTCAAACCTGAAGTTGTTGCTAACACGAACCCTAGCAAGAGCCGTGCTTCGCAGAATCGACCACTGCATCAGAAACGCGACCCACTGAGAAGATTCGGCGAGAAACTCATCAACGGGATGTATCTGTGGGTTAGTTTACTCGCCAAGCCGTTCGTCGCAAGCGACGGGTTCGACGAGAACGATGACCGGTCAATAATTTTTTTAAGGGATTTTATGACCTGGTTACTAAGACCTTTAAGTCATGTCTTATTTTAATTTATATTCATATTTTTATGAAAAATGATATTATGGAGTGAAATGAAATTAAGATTCAACTCGGATGAAATTAAATGAAATGAGATGAGATGATATGACATGAAATATAATCTCAGTAAAATGGTGGTCATTTACTAAGATTTTTTCAGTGGAATTTTTGGAGGATCCCGAAGAGTTACGTTCAGCGGCTTTGTTTCATTTTCCCATATTTCTGCACTTTCACAGATATTAAACAGTTAATAAACCACCGCTTATTGCACATTTAAACCCGAAGAAACACTAAATAGATAAAATAAAACAAATCACACAACTTTACTCGGCTCGTTCCCGCCAAAAAGTACCCGGTCAATAAAGTGTGGGAATCGATTTTGACATATCGACGCTTGAAAGACAAACGTGACTAAGCGACAATAACTGCTCTATACATAAATTATGGACAATAACCATATTCGATGCGCAAAAAAAATATATTTCTAGGTCTATTAAAATAATTTCAATCCTACAGCTAGATTCGTTAAAATAGAATTTTTTCAGGTATTTCAACTTGAAATTAGTCTAGTGTAAAGTTCACGCATTGTCGCTTAGTCACGTTTGTCTTTTAAGCGTCGATATTAATCTGTCTGGAAGCGTACCGACGAGTTGCAGCACGAGTGCGTCGGCCCGCAGCAGTGCGGGCGGCGCCACCAGTGCCAGCGCACCGCGCAGCAGCCGCACGCCCGCGCCCACGCAGCGCCGCCAGAACCCACCGCCGCCGCCCTCCAGCACCCTGTAGACACGCGCGCTCATATCATTAACCAAAAGCTTCAATAATATCATTACGATTTCAAAGTAGATAAAAAGGAAAAAAAAAAACAACGCTAAAATATAACATGCGCACATGTACAGTCCGCGCGCGAGCTCCAACGAACGTTAAGGAATGTTGACGTAATGAACTAGTGTTGTATTTAGTCGATATTGCATTATCGATACTAACACATCTTAAGCCTCCGTGCAAGTGTAAATTATAAAATAGTTCTATTATGGTATTATGTACTTTAAATAAATAAAAAATAAAAAAACAATTGATCACGTATGAATTTAAAGTAATGAACTGATACTTATTGAACAAAATGAACGTAAAATCTTATTAATTACTGTGGCAATCAGATTAATCAGTACTTGAAGAATTTGATGTACTATTGTCACTCTCCTCGCGTAGGTAGGTACTTCAATAATAAATTCGACAACATCCTCCATTAAGCCATCCTTTTGCCAGTAATAACGCTAAGACATGTTTATTATGCTAGTGCTCGCCACTCCTTTTTCATCAAATTAAATAGCTATTTGTGCAAACAAAAATACTTATAAGTGTAACTACTATTTATATGTAGTAGAAAACACACGTAAATAAAACTGCTATCGCAAAATTAAAACCAACCGAGTCTGTAAGCGCACTCTCACGTTAAGGTCGACACTAGTACTGGGAGAGGGCGGGGTATGAAGCGACGGTTGCGCGCGGTGCACGCCCGCCCGCTTCTTCAGCCACCGATTCCTCGGAGCCCGCGCGCGGACTGTATATAATATTTAATTCCCCCAAACAGACCCAAAAATGGATTTCTGTGCCAAACGGATATCAATTCATATCATCTGTATATTAATTGTGTGTTCTACAAGTTTTTTTTCTACCTACGCTGAGCGCCTTGAGAGGCTATATCAGTGTAGCCTTAACTAGTAGGCGAGCTCACGGGGCTCAAACCTGACGACGTTGCTAACACGAACCCTAGCAAGAGCCGTGCTTCGCAGAATCTGCCACCGGATCGCAAACGCGACCCACTGAGAAGATCCGGCGAGTAGCTCAGTGGGCTGTGTCTGAGGGTTAATTTACTCGTCGGGCCCTTTAGCGCAAGGGACGGGTTCGACGAGGACGATGACCGGTGCTTGAGGTACCCAGAAGCACCGTTAGTGGATCGGGAGGATCCGAAATGACGTGTTTGGGGCGACGTCGACTGCTTTCCATTCTGTCCGCAGGATCGGGAATGCTACAACAGTAGTATACTGACGCAGGCGGCAGCGCAGGCAGGAACACGTCGGCGTTGAGCGCAGAGTGCAGCGCGGCGTGCAGCGCGGCGGCCAGGCGGGCCAGCGCGGGGCGGGCGCGGGGCACGGCGGCGGCGCGGGACACTAGCGCACGCAGCCGTATGCACGCGCGCACGCACATCGGGTCCCACGCCTGCTCCACCAGCTCTGCACAACAACAGGTGCTCAATTGCAATCCATCAAACGTTCGTATTATATTATTATTGCTTAGACGACGAGCTCACAGCGCACCTGGTGTTAAGTGGTTACCAGAGCCCATAGACATCTACAGCGTAAATACCGCCACGTACCTTGAGATATGAGTTCTAAGGTCTCAGTATAGTTACAACGTCATGGTGTGTTGGAAGTTGTTTTTTGTGTAACGTATTTGTGTCAAGTAGCCACAGACCTTCAGCTGTTAATAACTTATTGTAGTCCACAGACATCACGAAGTCAATGACCCTATCCACCTTTTTATTTATTTATTTATTTGCTTAGATGGGTGGACGAGCTCGCAGCCCACCCACCAGGTTACTGGAACCCATAGACATCTACAACCTAAATGCGCCACTCACCTTCAGATATGAGTTCAAAGGTCTCAGTATAGTTACAACGGCTGCCCCACCCTTCAAACCGAAACGCATTACTGCTTCACGGCAGAAATAGGCAGGGCGGTGGTACCTACCCGCGCGGACTCACAAGAGGTTCTGCCACCAGTAATGACGAAAATTATAATTTTGCGGGTTTGATTTTTATTACACGATGCTATTCTTTCACCGCGGAAGTCGATCGTGAATATGCGGACATTACAACACGGATGGGAATAAAAAAAACAATCACTTACTCTTCATTCCACTTTCTAACAAAAAACTCGAACTAATCTTACCTGTGAGTTTAGGTATAACCACCCTCCCGACAATAGTGGGTACAAGCATGAGGTCGATATCATCCCGCACGGAGCTCTCTGTGACCACAGTGTGACCGTCGTGCTCCATATCAGAATCTGAAGAATCGCTTGACGTCTTCTCGTTACGAACGCCATACATCATCAAGCATCTGATGAACAAGACAGGTATAACAACTGATTGCGGTTACAGTCGCTTTTTCAATCAAAGTATCTTACTAAACAGGAGTTCGTATAAATTATTTACTAAATTAATACATAATAATGGTGGGCGGCCTTGTGAGCCAGCACCAATAGGATAGGATTGAATAACGAATTATTATTGTAATAATTGCTCACTTGTACCAATCCATTCTCTCATAGTCTTCGTTATCTTCGTCAGCCAGAGGATTCCATAATATCATCTGTAACAAAATATAATATTAATTAATAATCTGTGCTAGATTATTGCACGAAAACGCGGTCAAGGTCACAGTACAGCGCGGGGTCGGGCGCGCCCCCCGCGGTCTAGTTACCTCGTGTCGCACGTAGGGCGCCAACAGTCGCGGCAGGGAGTCCGCGACGTACGCGTCACAGTACAGCGCGGGGTCGGGCGCGCCCCCCGCGGTCTAGTTACCTCGTGTCGCACGTAGGGCGCCAACAGTCGCGGCAGGGAGTCCGCGACGTACGCGTCACAGTACAGCGCGGGGTCGGGCGCGCCCCCCGCGGTCTAGTTACCTCGTGTCGCACGTAGGGCGCCAACAGTCGCGGCAGGGAGTCCGCGACGTACGCGTCACAGTACAGCGCGGGGTCGGGCGCGCCCCCCGCGGTCTAGTTACCTCGTGTCGCACGTAGGGCGCCAACAGTCGCGGCAGGGAGTCCGCGACGTACGCGTCACAGTACAGCGCGGGGTCGGCGGCGCGCCACCTCGCCAGCCGCCTGCACACGCCGCGCACGCCGCGCCACGCTGACAGCGCGTCCGAGAATAGCTGTGCTGACTCAGCGCGAATTGCGGCTGTTATGTATAAACAATAAAAATAAATACAAAAACCCTTTTTGTTGCAGTAAAACATGAACTAAAATGGGTAAAAAAACATCTTCCGGATTGTGAATTCCTATTTGCATTCGACCTTTCGAATACTTTACATCGTTCAAGGTTAAAGATGGTCATCTTTGATCGTCTGATCACTGCCTTATCCGTGCTGTTGTACCGCTCTCTCGTCCTGGTCGTCGGACGACGACCGGGTATCGAAGAGTTTGGCGGTATATGTCAGCAGGTTGGGATGGATTGCGTGAATTTTACGCACCCTACCCATGGCGGTTCTGCTTTTCCTCTGCTAATCCTGACGTCTGTGCCGACCTTCTTAAAGATGTGGTGCTCCAGGGGATGGAATTGTTTATTCCCTCCTCTGAGGTGCCCGTTGGGGGTCGCAGCAGACCCGGGTATAACAATGCCAGCAGGGATGCTGCAGACCTCAAGTGGTCCGCATACGTGGCATGGGCTAATGCCAGGAGACGTCAGGATCCTAACACCTCAGTGGAAAGGCGGAAATATAACGCCGCTTCCAGGTCTTACAAGAAGGTTATTGCCAAGGCGAAGTCCGAGCACGTTACTAGATTTGGCGAGCGACTAAAGAGCTATCCCTCTGGGAGCCGCGCTTTTTGGTCGCTCGCCAAAGCTGCAGAAGGAAACTTTTGCTGGTCTAGTCTCCCACCACTGCGCAAGTCCGATGACAGTCTGGCCCATAGTGCGAAAGAGAAGGCTGACCTTCTGGTCAAACTCTTCGCCTCGAACTCGACTGTGGACGACGGGGGTGCCACACTACCGAACATCCCCCGGTGTGATAGCTCCCTGCCTGAGATCTGCTTCACGCAGTGTGCAGTCAGGCGGGAGCTTCGTCTCCTGGACGTCCTTAAGTCGAGTGGGCCAGACGGCATCCCTGCAGTGGTTCTGAAAACGTGCGCCCCTGAGCTGACACCTGCGCTAACGCGTTTGTATCGCCTCTCTTATTGCACTAACAGGGTTCCGTCTTCATGGAAGACCGCCCACGTCCACCGTATCCCCAAGAAGGGTAACCGGTCGGACCCATCGAGCTACAGGCCTATCGCGATAACTTCCTTGCTTTCCAAGGTGATGGAGCGAATAATAAATATACAACTCCTGAAGTATCTGGAGGATCGCCAGCTGATCAGTGACCGACAGTACGGTTTCCGTCACGGTCGCTCAGCTGGCGTTCTTCTTGTATACCTTACTCACAGGTGGGCTGAAGCCTTGGAGAGCAAGAGCGAGGCTCTTGCTGTGAGCATTGATATCGCGAAGGCCTTCGACAGGGTCTGGCATAGGGCACTTCTATCGAAGTTACCATCTTACGGAATCCCCGAGGGTCTTTGCAAGTGGATCGCTAGCTTTTTGGATGGGCGAAGCATCACGGTCGTTGTAGACGGTGACTGTTCTGATACCATGACCATTAACGCTGGCGTTCCACAAGATTCGGTGCTCTCTCCCACGCTTTTCATCCTGTATATCAATGACATGTTGTCTATTGATGGCATGCATTGGCATGCATTGGATGACAGCACGGGGGATGCGCGATATATCGGCCATCAGAGTCTCTCTCTCGGAGCGTGGTGCAAGAGAGACGATCAAAACTTGTGTCTGAAGTGGAGAACTCTTTGGGGCGAGTATCCGAATGGGGTGAATTGAACTTGAATCAATTCAACCCGTTAAAGACACAAGTTTGCGCGTTCACTGCGAAGAAGGACCCCTTTGTCATGGCGCCGCAATTCCAAGGAGTATCCCTGCAACCTTCCGAGAGTATCGGGATACTTGGGGTCGACATTTCGAGCGAAAGCCAATTTCGGATTCATTTGGAAGGCAAAGCCAAGTTGGCGTCCAAAATGCTGGGAGTCCTCAACAGAACGAAGCGATACTTCACGCCTAGACAAAGACTTTTGCTTTATAAAGCACAAATCCGGCCTCGCGTGGAGTACTGCTCCCATCTCTGGGCCGGGGCTCCCAGATATCAGCTTCTTCCATTTGACTCCATACAGAAGAGAGCCGTTCGGATTGTCGAATTTCCCATTCTCATGGATCGTTTGAAACCTCTGGATCTGCGGAGGGACTTCGCTTCCCTCTGTATTTTGTACCGTATGTTCCATGGGGAGTGCTCTGAGGAATTGTTTGAGATGATACCTCCATCTCGTTTTTACCATCGCACCGCCCGCCACCGGAGTAGAGTTCACCCATACTACCTGGAGCCACTGCAATCATCCGCAGTGCACTTCCAGAGATCATTTTTGCCACGTACCATCAGGCTTTGGAATGAGCTCCCCTCCACGGTGTTTCCCGAGCGCTATGACATGTCCTTCTTCAAACGAGGCTTATGGAGAGTACTTAACGGTAGGCAGCGACTTGGCTCTGCTTCTGGCATTGCTTAAGTCCATGGGCAACGGTAACCACTTACCATCAGGTGGGCCGTACGCTCAGCTGCCTACAAAGGCAATAAAAAAAAAAATAACAAAAAAAATTTAGCAAGTAGATAAGTATCAAATATTTTCTTCATCACGAAAAAATAATAATATTTCTCCTACCTCTCTCCTGCGTATAGTGGTGTAGCTCATGCGGAGGCAGTTCATCATCGCTAGAGTCGCCGTCCCTGTGCCTGACGTGAGCGCCTGCTGCGGCAGCAGTGGCCTCTCTCTTGAGGCGTCGAGCTCGTCTCCTACCCTCGCGTTCTGCTGCTCTGCGTATCTTCTCTTCGGAATCAACAGGTTTGACTGATCCGGGACGAGCTGCCAGCAGCAAGCATACAATTACGATCTCGTTGTCATGTGAATAGATTACATTAAATATGAGAACGCGACCCGATGATGAGTTACGTCGTAACGCACGTTGTCAGCCTGTCAATGTACGATACAGATTACGTCCAGGTAGTTAGTTGCCTTATGTAGAACCGTTGAATCTAGCAGAGTTCCTTTCAATTGGTGCGGCAGCGACACATTGTGTACGGACATGGATTTTTCCCCTATTTGCTGGAATTGGGGGAGGCTTACGTCCACTACTGGACATAAGCCTCCTCCAAGCCTCGCCACAACGACCAGTCCCGCGCTGACTGCATCCAGCGAATTCCCGCGAACATCAATAGGCCGTCAGTACATCTTGTGAGAGGCCTAACCACGCTACGTTATCCGGTACACGGTCGCCACTCAAGAACTTTCCGGCCCAGCGGCCATCTGAGATAATTTGCTAGCACTAGCCCTATCTATCACCAAGAGAGAGCCTTATCTATCACCGATCGGACTGCGACTGTTTCAGAAGATCCTGCTACATACTCAGTGGGCTGTATCTATGGGTGCGTTCTGTTGTTAACTTATAGACCGCTATGGCATTGTAATGGAATCACACGCGTGGGTATTGCGACGAGCGCCCCCCGCGGTCCCCCTGCAGGCGAGTGGGTAGCTACTGACCGGCCATGGCCAGCACGTCCTGCGCCTGGTCGCGGACGTCCGCGCGTCTCCTCTCCACCAGGAAATCGCATCTTCTCTTGTGCATCGCCAGCGCTCTCGCTTCTAGTGCTTCTAGCTTCGGCATCTGTTTATACAAGCGAAGAACGCCACGACCCCGTTTTAAATTATATAGTTTTTTAAATAATAAATAATAGTCTAAAAAAACTAACAAAATACGCTTTTATAGAAAATCCAACTAAAAAATAGAAAATAAATTTTAACAAGTTGGATTTTCTATAAGGCGGATTTTGTTCGTTTTTTTTAAACTTATATTTATTATTAATTTTTTAGTTGAATTTCAATGTTTACAATTTTTTTTTAAATATTGGATTGTCATCAGTCCTTAATAAATATAACAAATTTCGAGTTAATCCGACGTTTTGAAGGGGGTCAAAATCATGTTCAAAAATTCCGTTACAAACATACATATGTTTGAAGTTAATAAAAAAGCGTATTAAAAATTCGATTGATTTCTTGATTTGTTTCTCGAGTGATTTCTCTCTCTGATTGATTTCTCGAGTCATACAATCATACATACAGTCTCTAACAGCGGTCGGGGAACTTTTTTAATTATTACCCCAAAATATTTTTGTGTAAGTTGATATTATTACCCCATGGTGAAGAACCAAAAAAAACGAAATCGCTTTTATTTTTCATCTTTCATATTATAGCCCCCATGATAATTTTGAAAAGAAAACAATAACAAAAAATTTAATGGTTCTAAAGAAGTTTCACTTCAATATATACTTTTTACTCACAAAAGTTTCATTTTTACTCCCCAAAATTTCATTTTACCCCATTTGGGGTAATTTACCCCGGTTCCCTGACCGCTGCCCTAGAAGGTATCTAGAAGCGGTCGGCACCTTCTCGTCGAGACACTCGATGAGGTCGGTGAGGTAGCCCCGGGCGGCCTGCGCGCGCCGGTACGCCGTGTCCAGGGCGGCGCGGCGGGCGGCCCGCGTGTCCCGCGCCCGCACCGCGCCCGCCAGCCGCCCCGCGCCCGCCGCCCGCCGGCACTGCGCCTCCGCGCGCTCGCCCCGCAGCTCCTCCATCCTGTAACATCATATTGATCACAACTTGCACTTTCACTTAGAGCAGATATACGAGGATTGGAAATATATTAACTATTGGCAGCACTAATTGGCAGTTGTAGGCAGCGGCTTGGCTCTGCCCCTGGCATTGCTGAAGTCCATGGGCGACGGTAACCACTCACCATCAGGTGGGCCGTATGCTCGTCTGCCTACAAGGGCAATAAAAAAAAATAAAAAAAAAAATTTTATTTTATTAATTATTTCTTCAAGTCTGAGTTTGATAGCTGTAAAAGTGTACAAATGTGAGTAAATGAAACAAAAACACATTCCATTCGAGTGTTAAAGTATCTCCACAATTTTACTGGGAAGCTATTTCATTTCATACAATTTTATTTCAATCAAATTCGTCCTATTGTCGCGACTATAGACTTAATTTCATTACACTCCATTTTACTTTGTAGTTCATTACACCAAATGACAATTTAACTCAAAGGACTAGAAATCAGATAATTATAAAATAAAAAAAGTTTATAACATTAAGTGCAAACCGAATGAAATAGGCAGAATAGTAGACTTTACACAATACGCCCAGGCGAGACGACATGACGCGATACTCGGCAGGCAACCTGAACAATAAGCGAATTACGAGGCCGGGTTACCGGTTGCGTAGCGCGTCGACCAGGTCCTGCGCGGAGGCCGGGGCTCGCTCCGAGTCCACCAGCAGCGGGCGGAGGGGCGTCTTCGTGCTCGCCAACGGAAGAGGCACCGCGAATGGGTTCACTTCTGTATTATCGCCTGAAAAAAAATATATATTTAACAACAACAGAATCCGGTTTCTGCATATCTACACTAAATATATCTTTGAAATCATTTGGATATGCCGTGAGTATACGCGCAGACTGAAAGTAACGTGTACAACAGACACATCGTCTACTCGCATTAAAACTGTATAATCTCAAAACTTACTAATTTTACAGGAGTGTTTTAAAGGTTTAACATGTCATATTTTTAATATTAATCATCTTTGTAACATTATTTTTTACTAGATACATTATCTGTCTTTTAAAGTAAGATAAAATTATGTAATAATTTTGTTAGTAGTAATCAAAATATAGGTAAAATAAAAAAAATAAAAACACTAAAACCAAACTACGCTCTTTTGACAGTATTTATGAGAAAAATACTGGTGATACCAAATGATTCCGCATATTAACTCAATTTCGAATATTTTTGGAAATTGTACACTTTTAATGCGAAAAGACGTCATGTGTTTTATATCATCGAAATAGATTCTTCAATGAGATTGTTTTGTACCTGTGATATCAGCAATAACAGGTCTTGCTTTTTGTAGTTGTTGCTCCTCCCACTCTTCGACGTCACTATTCAATTCTTCCTCAGGAGTCGCGGCCGCTGTCCCACCTGGGTGGAGGGGGTAAGTCATGTCATTATTATACAATTTGAAGCAAAATGAAATACTAAAATTTGTTTGGAGTACAATATCTTTCTAGTATTCCATATTAATGTCAAAGTTTAGTATGAAAATTATGTTATGTTTGAAGACATAGGTATTGTTTGTGTAAAGAGACCTGTAATCTTTTCGATAAATTCAATCCAAAAGACCGTATAGAAATGCCCTTGACTTCTTTGAATATAAAACATTAAACCAGAAGGCGCCTGCTTTTCGATGTGGGAACGCAATCTATTTAAAACTTTACTTAGTAACCCCATTAGTGTGAATATCTTCTAAAATTTATCTTTGCAGACAGAGTTTCGTTCAAGATCAGATAAAGACCTTTTTCTTTAAATTAAGTAAATCGTCAATGGAACGCAAATACCTATTCGAATGGGTATTATGCGTTCCATTGACGATTAACGGAATACAAACCTATGAAACCAACGAAGCATAGTATTGTTACGGACTCATTCATAAAAAAATATCAGACCTTTGTAAGCCCGTTCTAAGATCACTGTCAAAAAGTATTATTCATAATACGATCTAGTTTATTTAAAATATGAACAAACTTTAACACTTAGTTTTGGTCGCCTTATTATTACAGAAAAAAAGGGTGCGTGTACGCGCGTAAGAAGTTAGACTTTATTTTTATTAAATTTATTTCTTTTTTTTATTTAAATTTTCATCAATTTGAAAAAAAATCGATTAATCAACATCCTCAAACACATATATTGGACATTCCTTTTCTTGACATCGTATAAATTCGGTAATTCTCGGTACGGTTCGGAAAGTTCACCTGCGGCTATATTCACACTCGCCGAGTGACGTCGGTCGTATTGTAATGGGCGATTTAGTGGGCAACTTCATTCTGTTAAATTTGTATCACGGTGCGCGCGCATCGTAAAATTTCACTCTCATCAATTTTTCATAACGCGCCTAAAGAAGTATAACTTCAAAAATATATGTATGTATCCTTTAAAATTGTATGGTATTAAATGGTCTAGAAGCGAGACCGTTAAAATCTCACTTTTACATTTAGGACATTTGTATGATAGTATGGATGATAATTTCTGGCTGTGTTTTAATAAAAAACTTGAAAACTCCCCTAACTCAATGAATAGGATCATAATATTATATAGCTGCCAATATAACAATGATAAAGAATACAAATCCAATCTAATGTTTGATACTCACGTTGTGGTCTATCGCTGGGCAGTTCAAGGCCTCTGACAGCTATCCTACCTTCTTCCTCGTCATCACCCGACCCGTCATCGTCTCTGACCAGTCTGGACCCAGGGCCAGCTTCCGGCTTCAGTGGAACGTAATCACCACCTAGCTCGCGAGCCTGCAATCAACGGCATCATGTTCTAGTCTCTGTAGGTACTGGTGCAGCATATGGCAAGAGACGAAACGACAGGAACTTTTTAAATATACTCAATAGACCAATAATATATTTTAAAAAAGAAATTCTAGTATTAACACTATAATCACTATACTGGAGTTTGTATTTTAAATAATCAGAAAATCAATAAATATTAGTATCGATAGTTGGGAGCTGATACACTCGGGAGCATATATTAGTGATTGAAGTATGTATTATTGATTGTTTTTTTTAGCTTTAATACTAATGTTCGTCTCACCCATCACTGCACAGAAATATATGTCAAACGTTATACAGAACATATAAGAAGAATATATAATAGAACATTCATTGAATCACCTGGAAGTTTCATGAAAATTTTAATAAAGTACAATTTACTAATAGCTGAATAACAATTCTTTGGCTTTCTGCTTCTCTTTGGAGCCGATTCTGATAAGAATTTGGATCGGTCCCACCTTTTGACAATTCCACATCAGACAGACAATTGACAATTTGAATCTTCATAATGATTTAGAGTAACATGAACATGCAAAAGCAAGTGCTCATCAAGAAGAAACCATATAACTAGAAGAATGCATCTCTACTGGTTTTCTTAACAAACTTCAATAACACATGAAACTTGAAGACTTAAACTACAACTTGCATGCTTAACAAAAACCTCATAAAGTTACGAAAATATGTTGTGTTTTAGGTAGCCTATATTGGCAAATTAATTATTTTGCCCAAAAAGAAGGTTGAGCCAGAAATTTTAGAGTAGTATTTACAACTGTTATCACATTCCCTAACAAAAGACAGTCTAAATAACAAAACACTGCAGCAATGGGATCCACTATTTAGACGACAATTAGATTTGTATTTGACATGGACCCAAGAAATTACTTGAAGAGACCACTATTGACCCCGGAGACCAACATAGACGACATTTGGAATGATTATATTGAGTCATTAAAGTTAATTGGTAAAGGTAATTGGCCAACATTGTATTTATTAAACACTAATAAAAGACATATTTATATGATTATAATTCAATTAAGTATTAAAGAAATAACTTGTATCCTAAACTTTTGAGGTGAAAAATTTCAAATTGTTTTTTTTTATTATTATCTACGCTGGTAGCCTTGAGATGCTGTGAGCGTAATCTAACAAGTAGGTGAGCTCACGGGGCTCAACGCTGACGACGTTGCTAACACGATCTTTCGCAAGAACAGTGCTTCGCAGAATCTACCACCGGATCAGGTACGTGACCCACTGAGAACTTTCCCATATATAAAGTTGTGGTTTAAATTTAATAATGTGGAACTTGAATATCCAATTTCAATAGTGTGTGATTTCAGCCAATCAAGAAATTCAAACGTTAAGACACTCCGATTTTTAACAGACCTACAAATGCATCATAGAGCATGCATAAACTATCAAACTGATGTATTTAAATTACATTCCCCTATTTCAGCAGAACCATGATAGTGACTTCAGAATGTCAAAATTAATAAAAACCTTCGACACTTTTTCCTCAAATTTAATCCCATCGTCGTCAATAACACTTAACAGACATTAAAGACAACCAATATCAGGAGGGCGGCGTCCACTAGTCCCTCACCTCTCATACCTGCTGTCGCGTCTTTCTAGCGGCGTGGATGAGCGCGGCGTCGGGTATGTCGCCGGCCGCGACCGCCAGTGCAGCCCTCACCGACTCAGGGCGGTACTGAGGGAACTTGCCCCCTTCATCAGGCTCATCATCATCAGAGATATCTCCGGCTCCATCAGCAGCCAGAGCCTCTCTGCCCGATAGTATCAGTCCTTCTAGTGTTATTTTCTTCTTTTTAGGCTTCTGTTCGTCCACCTCCATAGGTATTACACCATTGTCGTTGTTGTCCTAGATTTATTTTATAGCATTAGTATTTTATTAGTCCCCGATTATGGTGTTTACATATTTTTACATCTGGTGTTTAGTAACTGAAACCTAGATAACATGGCCTTTCCTGAGACATGATGTAGAATTATTCATTAAGTATTAAAAATGGGTGCCCAAGTATTTGGACTGGAGGTTACTTTTTGTACATAACAATGTTATCCAGCTTAGAGTCTCCACTGGTAGTTATAGATTCAAAATTTTACAAGTTTGCGCTCCTACATAGTTTTATTCTTACATCTGGGAAATCTAGCAGTGTAACATTTAGATAGAATTAGAACAATGGTGCAGTAAAATATTTGTCATATCTTACAAATCAATTAAATCTGTTCAATTAATGACAATCAACCAAAGCTTAAAAAGCCTAGCAATTCATATAAAAATTTTCAGTAATAACAGTCAGAGTGTAAGAGAACATTTCTCGATTCACAAGAATATTATTTTCTAAGATGTCATCAGTGTCAAAAGTAAAAAAGCCTGCAAGTAATTGTAATATAATACAGGTTTGTCATTGTTAGAACCAAACATTGTAATGATAGAAACAGTTAGGAACATAATTATATCATCAAATATATTATAATGAGTATTTGCCAATAAAAGTGCAATTTCTCAAATACCTGCTTTAAGCCAATATTGAGTCTAATCAGTACGAACTAATCAAACATTAAGCCAAATATATGTAGATGCAGTGAAAGTAAAATTTCAAAATTAGAGTTTGAGTGCAAAATACCCACTGCAATAAGAAAAAAGATCTCTTGTTCTGCTCTCAAAATTCCACTATTAAGCCAATTGTGAACGTCTTTTTTAGTAGTTCAGTTTTAATACTTCCAATGGATAAATGAAAATCATCATCACCTTCACAACACCTCACCTCATGCCCATTATTGTCATATCTGTTATTATCACCATCAAACGGACGTTTTTTCTCCTTGTCTCTCCTTTTGGAAATTCTCTTACTCTGCGAGGACTTCTTCACTTTGAAGACTTCACATTCTTCTTCTTCTGTTTATGTAGACAAATTATACAGTTTAGATTTATTTTTATATTTTATGTTCATATATTTTATAAACAGTTTCCAGTCCAGAGGTTGGAACCAAAAAAAGATGGAGTGACCAAGTGTCTGAGCATCTAGACACAAAACTGAGTCACACACTTCACTGTGCCACTGACCAACATAAGTGCCTACAAATTACAAAAAAAGGTCACAACAGGCGCATCACGATGCTCAGCAATGGGCGATCGATTGAAGGAGGAGGAGGAAACAGTTTCATTTTGAAGAACAGTTTATTGTTTCAGATAATATTTTCAATCAATAAATAATACATTTAAATTAATTTCAATCTCTGAAATTCACAACAAGGGTGTCTGTGGTACATTATTTACTATACTAGTGTTATAGTATAAACACAAACTCTTTACCATGAGTGAAAATGATGTATGAGAAATTTTATTTTCATAAATATTTATTTATAATTCAAGCAGACAAATACTTGAAAAAAGTTTATGCTCACTTTGTATTTATGCATGATGCTTCACTTAATTAAATGGTTTTGTTTACAGATTCTTAGCCTGAAACGTTGATTGATGTGTTTCATGAAAGCAATTACCAAAATCTGTATTAATGTAATATCTAAATAAGGCTGAGTACAAATTTATTACATTATTTCGGTGATTGTTATATTATTTTGCTTTCCATCGTCGTTATTAAATTAACCATTCAGCCAATAACAAATTTGGTACCAATATTTTAACAACTACTTTCTATTGTTTTACCTTCATCTGCAAAACTAAGTAGGGCAGTTGTTTTAACTGATTTCTTCTCTTTAACCTCCTTCTCTTGGCTAATGACCGGCGGAGGTGGAGCTTCGGGCTCACCATCTTCCTCATCATCATCAGCACAGAACACGCGTCGCTGGATCCTCCTCGGTTTACGAAATAATGACATATTAAATTGACTGAAATGAGTTACTTTGTTTACACAAGTTAATTTCAATCAATTCAAAGATTCTAAAGGCTAATTTTTACACTGCATTTGTAACAATTTTGAAAGAAGTCTTTGATAATTTAATTTTTTTATTTCGACAATTTTGACAGTCTGACAAACCAAATAGTTGACATTTTTAAATTTGAGAGAGCACTATTTGGCCAACGAACAATCTAAATTCTTAATTATTAAAATCGATAATAATGTTGTGTTCCGTTCAGTCAAGAAATGCTTAATTCAGAATTAATGCCTAACAGATGTTACCTAAAAATCAATTGAATGTGATTTCAAACTAACGCGACTATTCCGGTATTGTAGCAGTAAATGGTTCTGTATTTTTACTGGAGAACCTTATATAATTAATTAGAACCACCGATAATTAAACTTCATTTTATTCTTCTATTTTATTTGCTATTTCAGATTGAAAAATCTAAATATGTCTTTTTATAATCATTGAAATTTTTTTAAACTCGACTTTGAATGCGACGGCATCGCAAGAAACCGATTGATACACTGAAAAAATGAAGAAGCAGTGCGTATTTTTGGTTTTAAAAATAGGTATATGCTTTCATGATATGAACAGTAGCATAATCGCATTGTCTGATACGATACGAGTAATCTATCTTATACTTTAAAGCACGACGATTTGCTGCTAAGATTTAAATTTGTTTTTTATTTCACCGTCTTATCAGCTGCATGAAAATAATATAGGACAGACCAGTACTTAAATGAATAAAAGGACATTTTCAGAGCACTTTGACATCGATAAACACATTGAAACATGTACTTTTAGATAAACCACGAAAAACATTTTTTTTCCATACCTATACTGATAGTCTTGAGAGTTTGAGAGCCTATATCAACGTTACCGAACGAGTAGGTGAGCTCACGGGGCTCAAACTTGGCGAAGTTGCTAACACTGACCGTAGCAAAAGCAGTGCCTTGCAGAATCCACCACCGGATCGAAAATGCGACCCAAGATCCGGCGAGAAACTCATTGAGGTGTGTCTGTGCTTTAATATACTCGCCGAGCCCTTCGCCGCAAGCGACGGGTTCGACGAGAACTATGACTGGTGCTTTAGGTACCTAAAAGCACCGTTAGTGGATCGGGAGGATCCGAAATGATCCTGTGACACAGGCCCCCTGATCACGTAAAAATTTGCGACAGCCACAATTTTGCAGATGCTGTGCAGACGCGTCGCGACCGATCGCAAAACGTCAAATTATTTCGTATCACGTACCGCGATTGTTCGCTTACCGCTTACTGCAGTTTTCTGTCATACAACTAGCGCCAGTCGCAATCGGGTAGCAATAATTGGCACTAAAAAGCCACATTACCTNGAAAACACAAACGCAAATAAAGATCTAAACCAATTACACTTACCTAAATCAAGTTAAAATAATTTAATTTCACAAATTTTACACTTGCAGATAGTTAGCAACAATTCAGCACCAGATACAAAAGGTGTCGCAAATTTGACAAACGAAATTGCTAAATATCTGCTGTTGTGTGGCACACAAAAGCATCCGTAATACCGACTTTAGACCAGTTGTTGTTAGTTGTATGGAAAAGAATGCACTAAAGTTTCACAAATCGCTCTGCAGAGGCAGCACTAGTGATGGTCCGCGATCTGCTTTTTTGTTGTAAGTCCGTAATACGAAATGGACAGTTGACAGCAATATTTGCACAATATTTGTCTTCTGCTAATTGTCTGCGAAATACGTGATACAGCTGAGGGTTAGTTTATTCGCCGAGCCCTTCTTCGCAAGCGACGGGTTCGACGAGAACGATGAATGGGAATAGCAATCATCTACATCTCTCCACTAGATCATAAGGAAAGATATCTAATCGAAGGAGATCGATTTAAATCGAAGATCGTAATCTAGGATCGATTTTCTGAAAGCTCAGTTCATTCATAGATAATACAGTTTGTTCAAATTTCAAATTGGTTACCCCTATATAAGTGTATAATCTATGACCCCTATTGTAAAGCCATTTTGAATTTGTCCCGCACGGAAGTCGTGCGTTTTGTCTTGGTGAGTATCAAATTAAATCTGAACAAATATGTAAATTTAGATGATTAAATTCAAAATTAACCAGATAGTATTGATTATTAAGAGTATTGTGTAAACCCAAAACAAATATTTTGTGATTAACGTAGTCAGGATCAAAACATACTTTTAAGTAAAATCTGTATCGTTTTCAGTCCTTAAATTTCATCGAAGTCCCTACGCCACACTATCCAGGATGGGTAGGGAGGACAAGGCTACTTGGAAGTCTAACTACTTCGTTAAGATCATCGTAAGTAAATTAATCACATCTAATAATGTCCACATAATATGGAACTGGAAACATGTTTATTGTCAGGTGAAATATACATATTAATTAGAACATAACTCATTTTAACTACAGCAACTCTTGGACGAGTACCCAAAATGTTTCATCGTGGGTGCCGATAACGTGGGCTCGCAACAGATGCAGCAGATCCGTATCTCGCTACGTGGCTCCAGTATCGTGCTCATGGGAAAAAACACTATGATGCGCAAAGCCATCAAAGACCACCTGGACAACAATCCAGCCCTCGAGAAACTGTTGCCACACATCAAGGGCAACGTTGGCTTCGTGTTCACCCGCGGAGACCTCGTTGAGGTAATGTATTTCAATTAAATTATCTCTAGTGATTAATATAGCATTTCAATAAGTTATCAATAAGCAATTCGTTGAGGTAACAAGAGTTGTGTTCAATCAGGTCATCATTAGTGGTTAGTATAGCAATAAGCAATAGCTCCGCTGTTCCTGAGCTGAACATGAGCAACTGGACACTTGCCTCAGATAGCCTGTATGCCTGCTAAGGCTTATGGTGAAAAATACATCAAATTATATCATATCATAAAAGAGTATCTTATCAAAATGTATGTCATGAAAAATACCAGTTTTATTTAAAATGTTGCGTTTTAAACCTTGTTTCCTTCCAACTAGTGATTTCATTGGTTTTTAAGAAACCTAATCATATTTTTATTAGGTCCGTGACAAACTGTTGGAGAACAAAGTCCAGGCTCCAGCTCGTCCCGGTGCCATTGCCCCATTGTCAGTCGTCATTCCCGCCCACAACACCGGCCTCGGTCCAGAGAAGACCTCTTTCTTCCAAGCTCTTTCCATCCCTACCAAGATTTCAAAGGGTAAGATTTTAATACTGTATCTACATATCTGCACTATCAGTAAACAAATTTTAGTGTTAAAAAGTATACAAGCTAAAATTGAAACAATATAATATGCGAAAATACTTTTCGCAAGTTTTTCAGATCATGGGGGTTATTTGAGCGTTATAAAAGATGTGTTAATTTAATACTCTTGGGCAAATTTATATAAGGTTGATTAAGGAAAAGTATTTTATCCACTAAATGGAATAATTAAATTTCATGTTTTTTTACTACCAATAACAAAACTATTGTATGGTAATGTTGGGATAAACTAAATAAAAAACATTTTGTTGAATCAGAAAAATAAGGTTCATTCCAAAATCCTATGGCACTTTAAGTTCTATTTACTTTTACATATTCAAATAAACCGGAGTAACTTAAATAAAATAGTAATTTGTAGAGACCAACAAACCTATAATAAAATTGAATTATTAAATATATATAATCTAATAATAGCATAGTTGCTTTTACACAACAGTATCATTGTCTGTTCTAAAACCAGTGAGCTTTTTCTATCTCTCTGGCTTCGCTTTCAGACTAAATGAAACTCTTACAACTTATCCTAGTATAATTGTTCCTAAAATGATAATTGTACTGGCATTTGTAAGAAACAAGTCTATTAAAAAAAGGAAATCTCTACTAAGAAAAACAGGATAACATTGCAAAGAAACCATAAAAGGGTTTTGCTGTGAATATTTCAAACTTACAACTCAGAGTTGTTATTGTTAAAAGCTTTGATTATGTCTAATTTATCTATATCTTTGAGTGTATCCAATAAAATTAAGGTTATTTTTATTTTTAAGGTACTATTGAAATCATCAACGATGTACACATCTTGAAGCCCGGTGACAAGGTTGGAGCTTCTGAAGCCACCCTTCTCAACATGTTGAACATCTCTCCATTCTCATATGGTCTTGTTGTTAAGCAGGTCATTATATTTTCATTTTATTTACACATAGCTTATTAATTATATTTGACATTATGAGCTATATTTATACAGGTATATTAATAAAGTAAGCTACAATTATAGGCATTAAATTGAAAATTATGAATACCCATAAACATACCTGATTATATTCAATGTTTTTTAGACACACTTCAGTAGTGTGTGCTTATCATTTAGTACCACTGGTTTGTTGGTATGACAATTTCATACCAACAAACCAGTGGTATATACAGCTTTTGTCATGCCGATCTTTCAAAAAGAGTGGACCAGAAATAAATATGTATATGCACACTAGGCAAACCCATTAAACAGTTTTAAATTGTTTAATTTCTTTAACATGTCTTTATTCAGTGCTAAAAAAATTATACATTTAAAGCAATAACACAAAAAAATCTGACAGTACAATGTAAATCTTAATGATTTCTTTTCTTTTTCGTTTGAACTTTCGTTTGATAAATTTACATAATTTAGCAAAAAGAATTACTGTGTAAATATATTTTTCCAGATCAATCCTTTGACACTTTTAATGTTGTAACCACTATTGGACCATTATCAAATAAAAAAAAAATTGGAATTGTTTTGTTGTAATGGTCTATTAATAATATCAGGAATATGTACTCGAATAATCCAAAGTGTTGAGTACAGGATACGAGTATGTCTAAGTATTCTGATAATTTACCTTTGGAACAATAATTGCTGCATTGTAAATTTGAGTCTTTTATTTTAAACTCTTACACTCACAGCATACATGTATTTAGACAAACAATCACTTTTGAATGTTATGTTTTCTAGATTAACTTAAATGTTTGTTTTATTTTGCCAATAGGTATATGATTCTGGAACTATTTTTGCACCTGAAATTCTGGACATCAAACCAGAAGATCTCCGTGCCAAGTTCCAAGCTGGAGTTGCTAATGTAGCTGCTCTTTCTTTGGCTATTGGATACCCAACTATTGCTTCAGCCCCGCATTCCATTGCCAATGGTTTCAAGAACCTTTTGGCCATCGCTGCTGTCACAGAGGTTGAGTTTGAGGAAGCTACCACCATCAAGGAGTTCATTAAGGTAAATTAATTTCGTATTTTATCTTATATAGAATTAAAACAAAAAAGTTATTTTCTACTTGAAAAAAAAAATTCAACATATTTACTTACCGAATGTATGATAAAGATAAAAAGGACATTGAACATGTCTGTTCTAATACCAGGGACTGTACTTTAGGCTGCTCCCTGGCTTCGCTTTCAGACTACATTATAACTTTAAATTTATCCTAGTGTTGTTGATCCTGAAATGATAACTGCACTGGCATTTTGAAGTAACATGACACTACTGTTTTTTTTGTTTTTAGTAATGTGAATTGTTGTGGAGATATGACAAATTTGTATTTTATCTTTGACAGGACCCATCAAAGTTCGCTGCAGTTGCTGCCGCGGTGGCACCGTCCGCCGCCGCCGCTCCGGCTGAGAAGAAAGAGGAAAAGAAAGAAGAAAAAGAGGAGGAAGAAAGCGATGACGACATGGGCTTTGGTCTCTTCGACTAGAGCCTGTGCGTAGTAATAGCTTAAGCCAAGCAGCCGGAGTGGACGTCCATATGGCAGCCGGCTTAGGCCTTACACTTCGTTTACAATAAACTTACAAAAACTGATTTATTGTTTACTTTCTTACCTAATCATTAAAGTTTAGTAATAACTCCTTGCTACATTGCCAATGACTCGCCTTTGTCGGCAGTTTATTTTCTAATAAGGACCACTTAACTGAATTGGGTTAAATGCCATAAAATCTTAAATCTGTTATAACTACTCTTGAGATGTGTGCTATTAACACATATGCGTAAAGGCTTTTACTACGACTTGTCCCTAATAAACTAGCGGCATTTGAAAATAAAATTCTACATCTATTTGCATAGCAACAAATGAACAATCGCCGTCTACCAAAACACGTCACTTCGGATCCTCCCGATTCCCAGTCTGTTTTTTGGCATTGGTATCCGTGGTTTTATACGGTTACATGCCATCACCATACAACGTTTTCTATTGGATAAGCCATTAGATAAAGGAAGAAGTCTATTATTTCAAGGCATGACAAAGGCGAGAGTAGCGTGGCGGTGAAAGGCTTGCGGTTGTCGATGTCAATATGCGTCAGTGACCTACTTTATTAAATAGGTACCTACGTAATACGCTGACTATTTATATACTTTGTTTTCATAACTGGGCACTATTTTAGAGTGCCTTAATGCAGTTTTTTGTTGACTTTGTGGACCGTCGCTCATGGACCTCGGCAGTGCAAAGTATATAGATTAAAAGTAGTGAGTGTCTTTTCGAAGTCATCCTCCTCCACTATTATAAAAAGTGCAAGAACGCCCGGGTGGTCTTAATACAAAAACCCGATATCGCTATATTCTAATGTACCTATGTTTAATATATATATTGTTAAAAACGATTAATGCAAAGTAAAATCTAACAAACATTTGTTTACATTTTTAAAGTTATAACTAGCTATAGCTAATCCTTTTTTCAGACCGTAGCTAAGCGGCAATGTGACGTAATCGATGCGAGGTGCAAACTTAGCTTGGTCGAGTTGTAAGCAATTTTTTTTTTCGTAGAACCTCATTTAATTAGTAATAAAACCTAAATTATACGCGATTTATAATGTAATAGTAAATAATAATAAATATATAAATTTATATATTTTAATTTTTATATTTTTTATAAATAATAATAAATAGTAATAATATTCGGTAAGAACGAGCAATTCAAGTTCAAATATAAAATATCAGAATCTAAGATCATTGTTAACAATAAAACAACATTTCTAGTATTATTTCTACTTTTATTTCATTTCAAATATCATATTGGAAATAATAATAATATGTAATATCTAGTAATTATTAAACGTGGTGTATGTGGATTATAGTGTTTACTCTCTTTTGATGTTAACCTTGAACACCAAGAAGATAGAAAACAAAAGCAATCCTTAAGTATCTATTAAGTATCTTGATTAGGTAACTAAACTGATTGATTATTGATAGTTTTGACATTTATTTTCTTTTTTACTAGCAAGTGTAGCGACTTGCACTAAGTAGGTAAATAAGTTCACATCAATCTCTTGACAGCTAGATAAAGTTAAACCTAACAGTTAATATATCATAATGGGGGATAAACTAACTTTAGGTTACATTAAGCTTATTAATTAGTTTGAGATAAAAAGGTTGACTACCGTATGAATCTATTACATTAATCGTGATTTACGTTAAAAATCCACATATTAACATTAAACATAATTTTTTTGGGGCTCTCGTGTGTAACAAGAGTCTTTTAATTTTAGTTAATTGATATGATATTAAAAGACAGATATTTGATACCCTTTTCAATTACTCCTCAGGATACAATAAATAATACCTAAGTAAACGTTGATTTTGAGCCGTCATAAAAGTAGTTAAAAAATATATTCCAAAATAGAATGGCACAAAAATCGATCACATTCATTTGGCGAAAGTGCAGGTTTTTTTTTAAAACTAAGATTGACCAGATCTCTGTGTTGCGCTCTTTTTTTATTAATTTAGCCTTTTAGAAATAGTCTTCGATTACCACGAAGAGTCCGAAGAGCGAACTAGGCACCACGTAGACACAACCCATTAAGTGTCTTGCCGGATCTTCCCAGTGGGTAGCCATTCCGATCCGGTGGTAGATTCAGCGAAGCACTGTTCTTGCTAGGGTCGGTGTTAGAAAATGAGGTAGGGAAAAATATAGGTTATTAAAAATACATACATTTTTTCCCCTACCTATTCGCTGGTAGCTTAAGAGGCTATTCCAGCTACACCAGAACGGGTAGTTGAGCTCAAGGACTAGACTTGAAAGAATTTACTAACATCAGCCCTAGCAAGAGCAGTGCTTCGCCGAATCTACCATCGTATCGCAATCGCGACGCATCGAAAAGATCCCACGAGAAACTCAGTGGACTAGAAATACACTGACAAAAACATAAAAAAAAAATTAACTAACTTACGGTTGCCAAACACTCCCTGTATATTCCATTCAATTAAATCATACCAAAATAAGCTCACATTTTACCAATTGTATCATGTACAATGAATCGTTTTAACAATTTCATGGTATCACTACAGAAGTGTGAATGCAGTGTTTTCTAATGTAAGTATTATATAATACAAAGATGTAACAACACTGAAGTGTATACAAGGTGCGAACATAAATTAACATTACGTAGATTACCTAAAATCTAAAACCTTTAGATCAATACGTGAGATGTACCGTATATATGGTGTAATTCAAACGGCGGCTGCAGCAGCAGCGGTTGGGAGTGCTGCCGCTTCATCCATGGCATCAGCAGATTCTTCTGGCTCTTTAGGCGCTGCCGGCGGTGGGACAGGCGGTTCAATTGTTACCTTGAATGCGCCTTCGACGTCCGTGCTGCGTAACAGTTTAATTTCTTCTCCACTCTCCAAATTGACGTTCTTAGGCGGCAAGTACAAGAGGCCATCGATGAAACTATCGCCTCTGCCGGTTGATATTTCACACAAATCTTCCATCAGTTCAATGCTATACCAACAGAGTACTGCGTTAGCTTCCCCGCCCTTTTTGACTACCACAAGAGCGGAGTCCGTGACCATTTCTTCGCTACATGTGCCGACCGCCACAGGATCTGTTAGAGCTTCATATTCCAAAAGCCCGAAGTCGATACAGAAATTTTGAGAAATAGAGAATCTGTTCAAATGTGTGGCCACCTTAAAATCGCAGACGTTTTCATCGTAAACTTTATTGTTGATATCTACCCAATGGCTACGGATCACCTGCGCTATCATTCTTATTTCGGCAGGCATGTACAGACCGCCTGGCAAAAGATGGAGATGTTTTAGATGTAGACATATTTCCTTCATACGCAAGTCAATATCGCCGCACAAATCCAAAAAGTTGCCAACTATGGCATGGTATTTGTCTTCTCCAAATACCTCTTGGTCCCATTCATCTCCAACAAGGATATTCACTTTCGAGAGTGAAACTTTGTTAGCTCTAAATACTTTCTTGAAAAAGCGTTTGTCACTGAGAGTTTTAGCAACGCAAATCAGTGATTGAGCGCCCCTTTTAAGCATCTGCAAGCCAAACAACGGGAACGGAGACAAATCAGCAATAGATATTTGTGACATATCAGTCATTTGACCCAAGTAAACACTGGCCATGCCAATACATCCCATCACAGCGTTAATAAACTCTGCGTCATTCAAAAATCTGAGAATCTCGGGGGAAATCCGAACAATGTGAGAGTTAGAATCTTTGCCTAGTGTTAGTTTTCCTGCATTCATAAAAAAATCCAATTTAATGGTTTCATTTTCTTTGACATGTCGAGGGATATTATCAAAAAAGACTGCTTGTTGCCAGGCGTTAGATCGTTTAGGTGAACGAGGATTTGTAGTCAGAGAAATCTTATCAGACAAATACAAATTGAACCAGCCAATAACAGCATTTATTTCCCCTTTCTCCTTAGTTCGGAATTCGACTTCATAAGGTTCAGTTCTTTTTAATTTCTCCATTAAGTCATCAGGATTGTTGAAATCAACTTTCACGAGAGACTTTGTATCTGTCATGTATACTAGATCCTTATACAGGTGAACATCTTCAGAATCATAGGTTTCGTTGTGGTTCAAAATATGAACATTGAGGTTAGGAATGTTAAGAAGAGTTTTAGTTGATGATTGCAACTGGTACTTCCTAATGAGATCATCACTCTTAACTCCAACAACAAAAAACTCGGCCCTCTTAGGCAAGATTCTACCCACATTGGAAATAAAATTCTCCCAAGCATGAGTTAAAGTTTGCAAAATCTGTTCACCGAACAAACCGGCATCAAACATTTCTGTGATTAAAAGAGACCTTTTACCACCGATGTCTAAGAAGTTCATTGTTGTAGGTACGTTGTTAAGAATGACGATATCTAGAATGCCACTGCCTTGGGTTACGCATTCAGCTAATTGCGTCATAGCTTCAGAAGTATCAACAGCGGTGACAGCAATTGGTTTTAGTTCATGAGCAAACATCGACAATATACCAGTACCAGTACCAAGGTCCAAGACTGTGTCTTTGAACGGCTTGAGCGTGTCGTGAATGGCCTGACGGTATGTTTCGTTGCGTATTTTATCATTCAGCAGTCTATATTGCCAACGGTCAACCAGAAGATTTTTAACAGAGTTTAAATTTTTCTCGGCATTTACCGTTCCGGTATCTAAAAATATCGCATCGTGAAAATGATTCCAAGCTTCGGAGTAAAAGCCGAACTTGTATAGGTATTTTCCGATGTCATTCAACAGGTGAATGTTGGTTGGAAACATTCGAATCGATTTCCCGAAATTATTAAAGAGGTCTTCCATTCTGTCGTCCTCCGCCAGCATTTCGTTCAGTTGGATGATTACATTACGGAATTCGGGCTCGTACCGATTTTTTATCGCTGGACATTTCTCGAACGCCAACATGTACATATCGAATGCTTTACTTAAGCTGTTTGTGGAAGTGAATTGTCTTGCATAATTTATGTACTCCTTCGCCACTTCCTCCATGTTTAAACTAGGTCCTAAAAACGTATAAACCACATCTATAAGTAGTTCGTACATGTATTATTTATGAATGAATTTTAATGAGAATATTTACCTACCGTAAGACTTACTGTTTTACTGTGCACAAATGGACACAAGTAAAAGATATTTTTAAATAGTAGCCCGAAATGCACAATGAACCGCTTGCAACGATGATTGCTACCGGGCGGTTCCTGTGTATCTAAATAGTCGTTAAATATCTACACGTATCTATAATCGTCATACTTCCTCATTTAGTCAAGCTGCTCTGGCTGAAGAGTAACAAAGATAAAGCATAGTCTAAAACGATCAATATGTGTTCAACTCACCCCCGTTTACCCACCCTCTAAGAAACGTTCCATTCTATGCAGAACGTTTATTATAAATAAATAAATTTTAATATATCAATGGAATTTCATTTAAAAATATCTTACTACTAACTTTTATTGTAATTTGAAATCAAGAATTAATTAGCAACCTCGCGTTTCTTATTGTCATTATTTTATTAGTTGTTCATGACCATGAAAATTATTAGGTACAGGTAACCCCCCTATAGTACGGTATTTTACGACATGGCTCCACTCTAATCCGAAAAGAAAAAAATCTCCAAAACGCTCTTAAAACACGGTAGGTACTTCTACAATATGAAACGAGATTTTTGTTTAAAATTATTTAGAAAACTAAATTAAGTATGTATTATGAACACACAATTTATGGGAATGACAGAATTTCACTGCTTTCTTTTTTTTTTATTGCTTAGATAGGTGGACCAGCTCACAGCCCACCTGGTGTTAAGTGGTCACTGGAGCCCAAAGACATCTACAATGTAAATGCGCCACCCACCGTGAGACATAAGTTCTAAGGTCTGAGTATAGTTACAACGGCTACCCCACCCTTCAAACCGAAACGCATTACTGCTTCACGGCAGAAATAGGCGGGGTGGTGGTACCTACCCGTGCGGACTCACAAGAGTTCCTACCACCAGTTCTTATGTATAATAAGTAAAAGAATATATACAGGCATAGTTGAAAAGTTTTATTCAGAAAAATTACTGTTTTAACACTACAAGTCCGACTGGCGGGACTTTTGTGAATTTTCGTGAGTTCGTTGTTCCGGGCTGTTGGCGAAGATGATATAGAAATAATGTTTACACTGATTTGGTATGAGGTTTTAATATAAAAAGCGACACAATAACTAACATAAAATACAAAATGAGTTGAGAATCGTACAGTTAAACTAAGACTCGCAATATT